AAAAGGGAGCGTCCTGAAGGACAAATCCAGGCAGAAATGGGGGCATAAGCCTTGGGAATCAAACGCCAAGTCCCTCGGCTGGGCCTGCCCCCCGCCGTCATCCCTGCTCCCTGCCCTGCTGATGAAGCGTCCCAGGAGTGGCTGCCTCGGAATTCTCTCCCAGCATGCACTGCCTGGTCAGATATCTGAATCTTCAGGGTTTTTTTTTTTTCTTCCCCAAAAGAGTATTTTAAAATTTGCATCTTGGATGGAGTTCTTCCGTCAGCTAGCTCAGCTAGCGGCTGCTGGGGCCTCCCTGGCCAGCGGCCCCTGGCCGAGGGCCGCATTCCACCCCGCCCGGGTGCGTTGTGTTTTTTTAAGCAAGCAATAACCACAGCAAGCTTCCCTGCGGTTCTTTATGGCTCTCCATATGTATAATCACTCTTTCTCTTCAGTTTTTCCAGTGGGTTTTTTTTTTCTTTTAAATAAATGCTCATAAATTTTACTAGTGAAATGGATGAAAAAAACATTGAAAAAAAGAGCAGTGTGTGGAAAAAGAAAAACTAAAAAGCAGCCACCAGGCAGAATGTAGAAAAGCTGAGCTCCTGTTTGGGATGGAGCTTGGGCTGTAGCCTGGCGGGCAGCAGCCGGGGGCGGCAGGGCTGTCTCTGCTCTGTGATGGATGCCCTCAGACCTCAGCCAGTGCTGCTCCTGGCATCGGGGGCGCCTGGCCTCAGGCAGCAGCTGGGCGCCGAGGGCACAGCCACCTCCCGGTGCGGCCTGTGCACCGCTCCCCAGGGGCCTGGCCGGGAGCACCGCCCAAACACAGGAGGGAGGACAGCAGAGCCGGCCCAGAACTAAGTTCTCTGGCTTTCTAAACCAGTCACTTCATGAACTAGTGCAGCACACACACACACACACACACACACACACACATACACACACGGTGGACTGAAACTTCTAGAAAGGTCTCTGGCTCTCTAAGTTGCTTCATGGACTAGTGCAAACCACACACCTCATCCCAGCACACCCCTCAAACACTGCAGGCCACCTTCCCAGAATGCGTGCTCCCTCTGGGCTCACCCGGGGGCAGCAGGGCCATCTCCCAGCATCCTGCCAGCCGCTGCCTTTTCAGTCAGAGCGGGTGGGTGAGCAGCCTTCTCTGGCCAGGAGGTGACAGAATAGGGCAGAACCAGGCTGCAGAAGGGTTCTCGACCAGCGTGTGAGCTCCCTGTTAGCTGACAAAAGGCACCTGAGCGGGTAAGCCACAGAAAGGTGAGCTCGGGTCACGCACAGCGAGACCAGTGATGCTTCGCAAGAGGCTGAGGGAGGGCGTGTGGGGGAGCCGCTGAGCAGAGCCCTGCCCGCCCTCCCATAAGGCTCTCAGCTGCTCAGGGAGACCAACGGCGTGGAACCAGGACATCATCACTGATTTTTTTTTAAAAAAGATTTATTTAAAGGTAGAATTAGAGATCTTACATCTGCTGGTTCACTCCCCAGTTGGCTACATCAGCCAGAGCTGGACCAGGCTGAAGCCAGGAGCTTCGTCCGGGACTCCCGCATGGGTGCAGGGTCCCAAGGACTTGACCCATCCTCCTATGCTTTCCCAGGCCATAAATATGGAGCTGGATCAGAACTGGAGCATCTGGGACTTGAACTGGTGCTCACACAGGATCCTGGCACTTCAGGTCGCAGCTTTACACACTGTGCCACGGTGTTGGCCTAAGTCATTACTGATTTTGCTCTGAAAGGAAAAAAAGCACTTCAAGCTCACATCTGCTGGGTAATCCTAGGACTACTGAGGAAATGTTGGGGGTTCGGGGAAGAAATGGGAGGAAAGAATGTTCCAGACGAACAGGAGCAGCATCTGCAAAGGCTGTGAAGGAGCTAGACTGTTGAAGCAACTGCTGAGATTGGAGCTGGTGAACAGAAGGCAAGAGATACTGAAGCACAAACAGGGTCGGTAGACAGCATCAGGTTGCTTGGACACAGTTCTCAGACACAGAAAGCTCTAGAGGGCCATTGCCTTTTAGTAAGACCTCCGTGTGGGAAACAGTTTCACCCCAACTTCTGTGGGCCAGCTGGCCACAAGGCAATCTTGCCAGCTTGACTGGTACATGAGTCAAGTCTTCCAGAGGAAGACAGCGGGCTGCCGGCCACCCAATGGTTGCATGTTCCTCTGCTACTGCCAGGTTCTCCGAACCGGAGCGTCTTCCTCTAGGCGTAAGGAGAGCGAGTGTCCAGCACTTTGGGCAGAAGAGCCGAGGCGCCGAGCTTGCATCGTGCTGGTAGCAAGCCTTGCACGCAGCCTGGCCTAGGTCATTGTCCCTAGGACCGGGCAGCCCACAGGAGTCCAAGTACTTGGGCCTCTAGGTAGGCATTTTTCACTGTGGCCAGAGAATCAGCTGGGCACTGGCCCTTGCGGTTCTGTTTCCGGCTGGGCTGCAGCCCAGAACTGCACCTTACACAGGTGCCCATGGCTTCTGCTGGCTGGGCACAGGCCACACTGGCGTGAACGGTGACACCACGCCTGTGGAGTTAAGGCAAATGGAAGTTGGCCCTGCGTGCCCTTTGCGCTTCTGCAGGAGCAGGCAGTGCAGTGAGTGGCTGTCTCTGACTTTGTCGCCCTGCCTTTTAGATAAACAAATCAACCTAAATATTTAAAACACACTACTTTCTTTAAAAAAAAAAAAAAAGGAAAAAGAAACCCTTGCATTTGAAAAAGAAACACCCCAGATCTTGTTTGCCTTATTTGAAAAATGAACTTCTTAATAATGCCAGTAATAGCCTTCTCATAAGGAGGAAAAGAAAATATTTACGTTGAGGACATCAAAGCTGTAATCATAGTCTATAGTATGCAAAGGCATAACTTGCTTTATTTGTCTATAGCTTATATTAACTTAACCCATTACGTCATGTTTCCACTAACAGCTTGGAAATTGTAGCTCATTCAGACCACGTCCAGCCCGGAAATGGCCTCTCTGGGGAGAGCGCCAGCCAGTGCAGGGCTCTCTGATCCGTGTGTGTGCCTCCCTAGGAGGTGATCCGAGTCCCCCAGGGTTGGTCCCCAGGACACGCTTAGCACTTGAAGCCAGCCCTGTGTGGTCCCAGGCCTCGCCCATACCTGGGTGCCACCCACCTGGCCTTCTTGCCTCTGCTTTAGGCCTCGCCTGCCAGCACACCCATCCCAGCTCTTCAGGCTGCCTCTCGTATCTGGTCCAGTTGTCATCTTTGACCAGTGTGCTTGGAGCGTGGGCTGGCACACAACCTGTGCTTGATCATGCTGCTTTGGTGCCAGGCTGAAGCCGAGGCTTAGATCATCTCCCGGCCGATCCATCCTCCTACCCAGTGGCCCAATGGTGTTCTCCTTTCATAGATCACGACAAAGAGCAGCTGGTGCCTCTTCCACTCTGCTCTCATTCTTGCTGCTGTGTCCTCCAGCCTCAGGAGCACACACACACACAGCCTGGCCCTGCAGCCTCAGGAGCACACACACACACACACACACACACACACACACACAGCCTGGCCCTGCAGCCTCAGGAGAACACATACACACACACACACACACACACACAGCCTGGCCCTGCAGCCTCAGGAGCGCGCGCGCGCGCGCGCGCACACACACACACACACACACACACACACACACAGAGCCTGACCCAAGGAAACACTTGTTTACAAGACTGTGCCTCAAACTTGCACAAGCCCATTGAGCTCCTCAACTTGCATTTAGTGATTTAAGGGGTTTCTCTCCTTACCCCCCACCATTAACGGAAGAGCAAAGATCTACACCCCTGCTTCTGAAGGATGGGGAACATGAAAGACCCAAGAAACTGGCAGAGGCGCACGGTGCCTCACGGGGCCCCCTGAGTGGCACCCTCTAACCCTCTTAGGCAAAGCTGCCCCTTCGCACCTGGGCTGGCCTGGGACAGCTGCTGCGGAAGTGACGGCCATGACGATGACCGTGATGAAAAGGAGCGAGAGGACACTGGTGCACGCCGAGCTGGCTCCCACTGTTAGATTAAAGTTCTGCTTTCACGTTAATATTACGCGCAGTTAATTCCCACAGCCTGATTCTTTACTGTGAGCCGAAAACACCAGACGCAACGAGGTATCTTAGGAGGTTTATTCCAGTGGGACAGAAATGGGACTGGGTGGTGGGGAGGTGAGGATGAAGGGAGGTGAAGTGGTGGTGGGGAGAGCCGGAAGAAGAGCTGCACCTGGGGGCCTTTAGTCACTCAGGTGAGCCGCAAGGTGTGGGGCAGGATGGGGAGGGACTGAGGCCCCTGGGCATTGGTGCCTGAGACTGTCACAGGTGATTGCCTGAGAATGATTGGTGAGTGGGCGGAGCTGGGGAAGGAGCTGGGGGATTGGGGTGGGATTCTCAGGTGAGATGCCGGTTACATCTGATTGGTGGACGGCCGGACTGGCGCGGATTTCGTGAGCTGCGAGGAAGAGGAAATGGCGCCGTGTCCAGGGTGGGATATGGAATAACTCCTTGTGCCCACTTGCTATGACTGTGCCCCCAAGGCCATGGGTGCCTCTGAGGGACCTTGCAGGAGCTCACGGACCAGTGACTTGCTTGCGTTTCATTCTGGGAGAGGGATCTTCTGAGTGAAGCCCCCTGAAACGCAGCCGCGCCCCTCTTGAGGGAGACTGGAGGAGGAAGGGAGGCTGCTGGGAAGCATCTGCCTGCCCCATGGAGAGCAAACTTTCCCTTGAGCCTTCTGCACTTGCACGCGCCGCTGGGGCCACGGCAGCCAGGGAGCCCCGGGGGTGTAACTTCCATCCTGGGAGAGAAGGCTGATGGGAAATGCTATCTACAGGCACGGCCAGCTGTCCCTGGGGAGTGAGGCCCAACCTGGTGTCCTTTCCAATGCTAAGCCTCAGGAATGGCAAGTCGTTAGAAAGCATGTTCCAACCGTGCTTTATTTCCTATGGGGTCCAGGCAGGGGTGTGGGCTGAGGATGGAAGGCTTGGGTTTCAGGAGAAGTCCTGCCCCAAGGAGGAGGGAAGAGCCCTCCTGCTCAGGGCTGGGTAGGGTGCTAGTAGGGGTGGGCCCAGGTGTGCTCCATGATGGTGAGGAGCGCCAGCCACGTCTCCTGGGCCGTGGGGATGATCTGATTGGCCGGCAGCAGGAAGCCGTAGCGCCCGGTGTCACGCAGCTCAAAGCTGAAGGCGTACTTGATGCCTCTGTCGTAAGCCCAGTCCACGGTGATTCCACTGGCCACATCTAGAAAGGGCCGAGAGGTGCCCCCAAGAGGGTGCAGCTACAGGCGGAGATGCACCCCAAATGGTGTAAGTGGGTCCTGGAGCCAACCCCCCGGCCCAGGTTGTGCCCCGCTGCCTAGCTCAGACCTCATCGTAAATGACGCCCTGACCATCCAGGTCACCTGCAACTCTACACAAGGAAAGCTTCTCCCCCACCCAATAGACTTCAGAGTAAGACAGGAACTAGGAGCCTCAAGTTCACGCTGCACAGAGCAGCCATTCTCTACCCTTCCATCCGGGTGTGGATGGCACTGGTCACCCTGCTAGATTCAGGGAACTGGCGGGCAGCTCGGAGCTGCCCCAGGTGTCCCTCCCGCCCCCCGAGTCCCAGCCCCAGGTGCCTGTGGGTCTGGAGCACTTGCAGAGGCGGGCTCACTCACACAGTGTGGCGCTGATGCTGCCAAACATGTACTCGATGCCGTGGACTTCATGCAGGGCCTTCACTGCGCCCTCGGCAAGCTCGAACTGCAAGGAAGACACTCCGAGGCTGAGAGGATGCTCAGGGCGGCCTGCTGGGGCCACGCACCCAGAGGCTGAGAGGACGGCTCAGGGCAGCCCTGCCACATCCCCACACCCAGAGGCTGAGAGGACAGCCCAGGGCAGCCTGCCGCGGCCACACACCCAGAGGCTGAGAGGACGGCTCAGGGCGGCCTGCCGGGGCCACACACACTCAGCTGTGAGCCTCGGAGTTCCATGTGGCCATGTGCCGGGCCCTGGCTTCACCCTGCTTTGAGGCCCATAGCCTCCAGCTGCCTTCTGTCGTGCCTGGGGCCCTGGCCTCTGTCCCTGGGCTTCAGACACATTCAGACTTTCCAGGGAAGGGGTCCCCTTCCCCCCAAATCCAGAACGCACAGCCTCACCAACTCCTCCTGGTTTGCAGCAGGTTTCAGAGTGTGGCCGTAAGGGTACATGAGCATCTGCGAGTAGCTGTGGATGGAGATCAAGGCCTTGAAGTTCCCGTGGCTTGTGATGAAGTTGGCAGTGGCAGCCACCTCCGGCTCCGACTGAGGAAACGGCCCGTGGTAAGTCTCTGAGCAGGGGTTGCTGTTAGAACCATTTCCTGAAAGTGAAAGAAAACCACCCAAAAGTTCACAATTCCTGAGCGTGGCAGAGACACTCAGGGCTCACAGAAGATGCCATGTTTCCCAGGCTCCTCTGCAGTTTGGCAGAGGTCATGTGACTGCCTCTGACCAATGAAAACGTGAGCAGAAGTGATGACGTAGTGCTGGTGTGGGACTGTTAGAACCAAGGCTAACTTCTGCGCATTCTCTGTGGGTGGAAGCAGAGCATGTTAGACCGAAGCAGCCCCCTTGGCGTCCCTGCAAAGAGCTGCTCACGACAGTTGCCCAGGCCCACTGGACTCTGAATGCACGGAAACTAAGCTCTTAGCACGTGGAAGTCCCTGGGTTTGGAAGGCTACTGTTATTGCTGCATACTGTACTGACACCCTGCAGGCACGCGGCTGCCCCACAGCCCAGCAACTCCAGAGCTCTGAGGGCCTTCCTTGGCTTGCTCCTTCAGTCAGATCCCCGCTGAGACTGTAGAATGGCAGGCCTGTCCCAGAAGGTGACCTCGCAGAGGAGGCCTCTCCCCCGCTCTCCGCTCCTGCCTCTGAGCGGCAGCCCACTGACCTGACCCTTCCCGGGGTCACGGTCACTGAGTGTTCACATGTGGTGTCTGCTTGGGCTTTGCACAGGTCTGGTCCCGGGAGCTCCGAGGATTTGGGGACCCGAAGGGGGATATCCTGGCCGCTCCGTGCTGACCCGGGGGCCACGGGCAGGCAGGTGTGCCAATTCTTCCTGGGCACCTACTCTGGGGGCTGTTGCTTCCGCTTTTTTCCACAAGCTCAATTTGTCACTATCTCCTCCTTGAGCCTTTGCTTCTGCCACCTCCTTTCTTCCTCTTCAGCTCTCCCGCTCCCCTCCGCTCCCGCTCCCCTCCGCTCCCGCTCCCCTCCGCTCCCGCTCCCCTCCGCTCCTGCCACAGAGGGCTGGGCTGGGCTGCTCAGATGTGAGGAGCACGTGCGGGAGAAGCCATCTCAGCTCCTGCTCTCCTGCCTCTTGCCAAGCCTGGTCCAGAGGCCGGGCTTTCCCCAGCTCCTGCTTCAGTTGCTTGTTACTGTCGATTTGGGAGGCAGAGAGACAAAGAAGGCGCTTTCGTCCATCCGTTTGCTCCCCAGGTCCCCACAACAGCCAGAGAAGGGCCAGGGGGAACCCCTCTGGGTTTTTTCTGTAGGCGGCATGGGCACGAGTCCTGGAGTCACCACTTGCCACCTCCCAGGGCACACACTAGCAAGAAGCTAAACTAGGAAGTAGAGCCAGCACTTGAACCCAGGCATTCTGCTAGATGGTTGTAGGCGACCTAGGTGCCATCTTAACCACTGTGTCAAATGCCTGCCTCCTTTTTAACACCTTCTCTCTGCTGGTTCACTCCCCAAAGCCTGCAACAGCCAAGGCCACAGTCAAAACCCAGGAACTCTGTCCAGGTCTCCCACATGGCAAGACTGGAGCCAGCTCCCGCTGCCTCCCTACCTGCGTTAGCAGGAAGTTGGAACTGGGAATGGAGCTAGGACTCAAGCATCCTAACTTACTAGCCAGACACCCCAACTTCTGAAGCACCCTCTTCCCCCGCTGAGGAAGCCAGAGCACTAGCCTTGGCCAGCCTGGACAAGAGGCTGCTCCGCAGACCACCTAAGCTCCTGCTGCAGGGGATGCAGCAGCCTGCCCCTCCCCCAGGAGAAGGGTGGGCATGGAGGAGAAAGCTACACACAAGTTCACAGCAATTAAATTAAAGCAAAATTCAAACAATAAACAGAATCTTCCTCATCGAGTTGCTAGCCCAGGCACACACACACACTACTTCTGGCCGTCAGCCGGCCCAGAGGCCAGTGTATCATCAGGAGTGCCCCTTCCTGGTTTGCCTGTCTCTGCCTGCAGTGGGGATCCAGGCTTGAACGGGATGTGTCTGCGGAGAGCAGGGTGGTGGGCAGCCCCTCAGGTTGCAGTAGGCCGAGCTGACAGTGGTCCTGCTTGCTGTGTCTGCTGGGAGCGCCTGCACCTGCTACACGCGAGGAATGAGAGCGAGCAGCAGATGGGCAGAGCGGGAAGGCTGAGAGCTTTGTCTGCGTTTGCAGCCCACGCACAGAAAACAGTTCCCCTGCCAATGACCAGGTGGCTCTGTCCAAATATGGAGAAACACTTCAGGCCATTAGTTCTGGTTTGGGCTAAGCAGAATAAACTAATCTTCCCCTGACCAGAGGGGAGGCAGCTGCCTGGCTGCCTGATGCTCACAGTCAAGTTTCTCTGAGCCTGCCCCTTTCACAGGTGCCTACTAATGGATTCATTAGCTATTTATTTTTTCCTTCTCTAAAAATGTAACTTGTAGCAAGGGGAACTCTCTGGAAGGACACGATGAATTATTCCAAGCAGTGACCTTGGGGTAGTGGAGGACGCGCGCTTTGGGCCCCTCTGGGCTTTTCTGTTACTGTTTGGTTGAAAAGGTCCACAAGGGTTATTTTCTTTAAGAGGTAGTTTGTTTTTCTGCCAGCTGGTACACCTCTGGGCACTCAGGCCAGTCAGCTCGGAGCGGCCCATTTGGATGTGGAGGCAGAGACACTGCACGCATAGCCCGTCTCCCTTTCATGACTGGGCATGCTCGGGCCCCGCAGCAGGGCCTCACACCCAATGCCATCAGGCCATCCTTATTTTTTTTATAGACCAGCCCCCAAGAAGCCGAATTTTCAAAGCAATGGACAATCAGATCTAGACTGTCCTGTTGCTATTGCCCGATTTGGCCGCCTTCCTGTGGATCTGCTTGTCCATAGAATGGCACTGTGGTCTTGGGACTGTGAATACCACCTCCTGGGCAGGAGCTATGTCTGGACACTCCCTCCTGGCTGGACCCCTCAGTCTACTCATCACCTTGCTGCCTTCCAGAGCCCATGGACCTGTCTGTCTCCCGGCTGGTCCCGTGCCCACCCTGCACCCCGCATGAGACCCTTAGGAAGGAACACAGCCCAGAAGGAAGCCGCCCACCCCTCGCTGGGATCACACAGCCCTTCAAGTACCTCCTGATTTGTAATGGAAGCCAGAGTCAAAGCAGCCTTGACGGTAAGGATTTGACTCACTCTATGTTGAACGATTGTCTAGCTTCCCAGAAGGGCAATTTGCAGGCCACAGCTCTCAGGAAAGTAGTTGAGAGGCATTTCCATGCAGTATCCTCTTCAGGGAAGGGCTGGAGGCATTTTAGGGGCGCTGTACGCTCTTGGTTTCAAACAAATGGCAAGGCTGCATTGTGTTTCTTTATACATCACTCTGCTGGATTTAGGATTTGACCCTTGCAGCTGGTCGTGATTCGGGAGCCAGGAGCTCCCTCGACGTGGTGCACAGAGCTGCATCTAAAACACACGTGCTGCCAATCTTAGGAACGTGCTCGCCTGTCCTTGGCCATGACTCAAACATGACTAGCTAACGATGACACTCGTCCTGTGCCTTCCAAGTTATGCGTCAACATGATTGACTACGTGGGAGAGCCTGCTAAGCACCAAGAACTCTAGCCCTGCCCCCAGGACAAGCAGCCACTGTACCTCCAAAGCCTGAATTCCAGTTCCTGTTGAGATCCACACCAATGCAGAAGACGCCAGGTCTGGTGGACTTGTTCTTCCGCCACAAGCGGTTCTGAGAAAGCCCAGGTCAGGTGACCACTGGGCTGGTTCCCAGAGTTAGGAGCCTCTGACAGCCCGGCCTATGAAGGGGTTGGTGGGGCAGGGAAGGACCCTCTGGAGACAGGCTGGGGATGGCGTGGGAATGAGCAGGTAATTTTGGTTGAAGTCGGTCTGGGGAGAAACCGTGTCACGGACCTCTAGCCGTAGTTTTCCCCGGGCAGGGGGCCAAAAGCCAAGAGGCTGCAGCTGCAGGACCTCCCACCCTCAGGGAGGCTGTCTGTCAGAAGCCCCTGGAGGAGCTGGCTCACAAGGACACAGGAACCTCTCCCTGTCCGCCACGCGTCCCAGTGCCCTCACCATGCTGTGGGTAAAAGCAAACCCATCAGGGTTGGCGACAAGCTCTATGAAGATGTCCATGGCATTCAGAATCTCCATCAGCACACCTTCTCTTCTGTATTCACTGACAATCTGCAAGAAAGGGTGAGAGACAGGAGGCTCTTCTGGGCTCTCCCCGGACATGCAGCAGGGCACAGACACGGCCTCTGGCTCCAGGGAGATGCAGCATCAGGCTGTCAAGTGCAGCCTTTGTGCAGATCCAAAGACTTGGCTGTCAAACAAGTGGAAGGCGAAGCATCTGTGTGGCTTCTGTGCTGCAAAAGGGCTTGCATGTGGTGGCTGTTCTAAAGGGCAGGAGGGGACCAAACGCCCCACATTTCAACCAGTCTACTCTTTCAGCTGACAGTAAGTGCCCTTACATAAGCGGGCAGCCCCCCTCCCCATTTCAGCTTTTTGCTACAGATCCTTCTGACCTTCTTGGCAGTCCAGATGCCTGTGGCGTGGGTGATCCACTCCCGGGAGTGGATTCCTGTGTCAATCCAGATGGCCGGGCGCCGAGAACCTCCCGTGCTGAACTGGAGGAGAGGAGGGTGAGCAAGGCGGCAGTGGTGCTGTCCTGGTCTGAGCATCAGGAGACCAGGGGTTTCCTCACCACTAGACCTGGTGTGCTTAGCTTGAGCGAGCGTGCGTGCAGGGGCCTCCGCACACCTGGGTTGTGCCTAGATGTGAGGTCCCTTGGCCCTGCAGTGGTACTTGTGCTGGGTAAAATGAGCCTGCTGGAGCTCAGCATTTCCTAGGGTTGAAAGCACGTTAAGTACTTCTTTAATCAGCACAGAAATCTGGTGGGAATCCCATTGTCGCCTATCCATGCACAACGAGGGTGGGACCCTTACTGCCACAGTCCTAAAGCTTGCACATACATCTTGCCTTTCCCCACAGCTCCAACCTTGCCACCACCTGCCAGGAGCTTGATCTTGTCGCAGAGGTTCTCACCATGTCAGCTGCCACTCGACAGTGAGATTTTACCTTCAGCAGAAGAATGGAGCGATTTTCAAAACTGTTGCCAATGTGAATCTTTGAGATGATGTCTGAATGCTCAGTGACAAAGTTGTCGATCCAGCTATATATCTGAAACCAATGATACTGTTGTGACATAGCCATTAAACAGGGAGAAAGGTGGCCCTGGGACCTCTCTGAACATTCGCCTCAATGCATCCTACTCAGCGTGCTCCCATCTCCCACGGGTCTGAAAGAACAGGGATCCAACATTTCAAAAATCAAGGTCGTAAAAGGCGAGAGATTGGTACAGTCTGAAGAGAAACCAAGCAGGCTCTGTTGTAAAAGGAGAACGTGGCAGCGCATTTGGTGCTGTAGCAGAAGAGAACTAACTGGACAACTACCGCAAACAAACGATGACAGCACAAAAAGGCTCAGTGCATGGAGCCAGTGGACCCTGGGAGGGTGACGTCACCCTCGGATCTGTGACATCAGCAGCATTTCAGAACCATCCAAGCCACCGGGACAGAACCCTCAGAGCACGTCCACGTGCAGGCTCTGGTTGACAGGAGGTGGGTTCCTCATCCCTAGGTGCTGGGACGTGTAGAAAGTCGTGAGTGGTTTCTCCCCTTCCCCCAGGAACAAGAAGAAATGGCAAATTTGGAAGCAATGAATTCACCCGATTTTCCCTAAACCTTGATCCTTCCCACCCTGATGAACCATGTAATCATTATTACAAAAATAATGTTAATTAATTAACTTCAAAAATCAAGGTAGGCACTTGGTGCAGCAGTAAGCCACCGCTTGGGACACCCGTAGGTCGTATTAGAATGCCTGACTTCGTCGCCTGTGTCTACTCTCATTCCAACTTCCTGCTGCTGTGGACCCCAGGAGGTGGGGGATGCCCCGATAGTTGGTCGCTGCCACCATGCAGGAGCCTGAGATGAAATTCCGGGCTGCTGCCTCAGCCTGACTCAGCCCCAGCTGCTGAGGGCATTTAGGAAATGAGACGGCTCATCCGTGCATTCTCCCCTTGCTTTTTTCAACTCCCTCCACATCCCAGGGCATCAGATAAAGTTTTTTAAAAATGTTTAAGAGGAAAATTCATTGCAAAATCCAAGTTGTCCGAGGCATCAAGTGTGGTGTGCCCGGAGTTCCAGGCTCCGCGTCCCTGGGAGGAAGAGCATGCCTTGAGTCTGCTCAGCCAGCCAGGACGCGCTGCCTGAGTGCCTCTCTTGGAAGTGCTCTCCAGCCTTTGGCCCATGCAGCCACTTGACTCAGTGCACAGGCCTTTACTGTATTTTACTTTCCGTCGCTGGCAGGGTCCCCCACCAGCGGGATTCAGGCTTTAGTAACTTCACACATCACTAAGTAATGGCAGTCTTACTCATGCTCTTTGTCTTCCAGTCTATACGAGGACACTGAATCCTCCAGAACAGGTCATGGGAAAGGGGGAACATGACAACAGTAACAGAGTGGACAGTACCAAGAGTGTCCTGCTTCATGCATCAATAAGACCTGTGCCTTCGGTCTGTTTCAGGACGGTGTCCCCGTGCCCTCCTGTGTAAACAAGCCACACATGCTCACCTTCCCTGGCTGTTGCTACCCGTGAGTTTCTCTAAATGGAGACAAGTCTAGTTCCGTGGGACTTGCTCTCCAGCGTCCCTGGCTTCCTGCTCCTTTTACCCTCAAGCAGCCACAGCTGTGGCCATTGAGCGCCATCCCTGGCCCGGAAAGGTTGAGACCCCTCGGTCTCTAGCCAGAGGTTTGGCTAAGCAGGTCTGCTCTGCTTGCCCCGTGCTGGCCTGTCATAGGGCATGGTTGGGCCCTGTGCCTGCCCGGGGCTCGTACTGTTGACCCACAGTCCCTTCTAACTGAATGTCACTTCTTGTCTGCCACTCACTCCCCACAGGCTCCCACGTACGCTGGAGTCCTCCCTGGTCTCTGCCTCAGACTACAGACTCGAAGGGATCCACGCAGCAAGTGACAAGAGCATGGCTGAGGAAGACCCACCTCCTCCAGGGTGTGGTAAGAGGAGTAACTGAAGCTGCTCGTGCTGCGCTCCAGCCGGCGGGACTTTGCCATGGCCTCTCTCTCCTCATCCAGCAGAACCTGGGAGACAGGGACATAGAATGGAACACAAGGCAGGGCTGGAGCACGCCAGCACAGCCTCTTCTGCACGCTACCCCAGCCGGCTGTGCAGACACAGTGTCAACACAGAAAAACGAGCCCCTGCAGCAGACAGGGGGACAGGTGCTGGGTTCTTCATGCTGCCATTTCCCACAGGGCCCGGGGCATGCAGGACAAAGAGCTAGGTTCTATGTCTGCTTCTGCAGCTTCCTCAGCTTTAAAACTGGGAGAGCAAAATCTTCCTTGCTAGCGCCCAGAGTAAACGGGAATAGCAGGTGGGAAAATGTTTTGAAGATGTTCACGGTTCTGCTGCCAACACTGCTTACTGTGCAATCAGGACCCGGTGGAAACACGTGGGTGCAGAGAGCGCCTGGCTGGGAGCAGAAGGCTGCTCGGACCCTGGCATCATCAAACTCTACTACCAGGAAGTAGCCCAGAAACTGGCATCCAAGCCAGAGCCAGTCCCGCACATTAATTTCCTTTGTTAAAGATTTGTTTGTTTGGAAGGCAGTCAGAGACAGAGGGAAAGAGAGAGAGAGCTCCTCTTTCTGTTAGCTTGCTCCGCAGATGACCCCCACTGGCCAGTGCAGAGCTAGGCCAAAGCCATCAGCCAGGAGCTTCATCTGAGTCTCCTCCCGGGAAGGGCCCAGCCACTCAGACCATCTTTCTCTTCTTTCCCAGGAGCATCCACGGAGAACTGGATCAGAAGTGGAGCAGCGAGAACATAAACTGGCACCATGTGGCATCTTGGGCAGAGGCTTAACCCACCTGCTAAGCTGCTGGCCCATTTATCCAGTCACGTGTCTCCTAAACGTAAGTATAGATGCGCTGAGAGTCTGCCCCGGGCATGTCTGACACTTCCCCGGGCCACAGGGAGGACAGTGGCAGGCCTGGTGCTGGGTCGGTCACTCACTGCTCAGACCAGCCTGGGACACTTTTCCCAGCTTGAATCTCTGTGAGGTGGTCAGGTGCCCTCTAGGCACCTGTGCTGCACCCAACGAATACCACAGAATAGGATTTGAAGCAGTTTTTGTTTCTTAATGTTTACACTTTAGTTCTGTGTCCCTGCTGCTTCAGTGAGGAGGGACTTTGAAGCAGCTTCCACTATGTGCCCGCGCTGAGCTCTAGCTGGACTGGCTGGATTTCTGGGTGAGACAAACATGGCTGGAAGGGACCTGCTCCCCGCCAGCGATTGCAAGCACCACCTTGGGAGGCTCCAATCAAAGCAATTTGTCTTCTTCCCAGGAAACCACCCCAAATCTTAGCTGTCCAGCGTGACCACTGGGGGCTGGCATCACCAGCTGTGGGCAGCAGCTGCAGGGGGACAGCAGCTGGGCCAGGCACAGGGAGCCAGGGCCCCAAAGTCTATTTTCCAAAGGTTTGATGAGAAATTGGAAGGAAACCGAGAATGGTCCTTCCCACGCAGCCGCAGCCCCAGGGACCCCCACAGGAAGAGGAGCTTGGAGGCAAATGGGAAGTCAGCCCCCAATGCAGACAGCTTCCCAGACACCCTCGGAGCCCTGAGGGTGTGCGTAAGCTTCTCACGCACTGGGGCCTCACGGCCGGGCCCCGAGCCCAGGAACATTCATCTACTCTGGCCGGAAAAGCACACATGTGCTCCCTTCCCAGGGCTCAGGCCCAAGAGGGAACAGGAAGGCAGCAGTGGTCCCAAGCACAGGGGGTCATCACAGCCATGCGGGGCTTCGCAGGAAAAACTCAACCAACCCAGAAGTCAGCCGCCTGCCTCCCTGGGAACCGCACCCGGGAAGGAAAGGCTTTGCGTAGGTCCGTTTCTGCAGGAAGGAGGAGGGCACGAGGCAGGAGCAGCAGGCCCAGGGTGGGGGGAAGGGAGCTTTGCACCCCTCCCCAGGTGAAGCTGAGGCCTGGACAGCCACTCAGCTCCTGCCATGGGCATCAGGCATACCCCATGGGGACACAGGGTGTGGCGCCAGCTATGCAACCAGGTAGTCTCTTCTGGGCAGCATCTCAGGCCTTCTCCTCCAGGCCCGACGTTTGCAGTAGCTGCCACTGGACATGGAGGCAGCACAGAGCCAATGTCCTCACGTTGGACACCCTCCAGTGTCAAGGCTGACCCCTGCAGCGTGGCTTCACCGCTCAGAAGAGCAGAGTAAAAGTACAACAATGCTGCAAAGCCACAGTGCTGACCCCTGAGGAGGCAACGGCACCAAGGCAGAGAGCCTGGGTCCGGGGTCTCTGACCCAACCCTGACACTGCCACCAACTGGGGCAAATTACTAACATGCCCAGGCCTCAGCTTCCTCACTTTGGGTGAGGACCGCGTTATCATGTGTTTTAGCCAACCCTGAAAAGTGCTTCCCCAAGAGCTGGAAGGATAATACTTCCAAAATACTTCAAATATTGTTGAGCACATCGTAAACGCTAACAGCGGCCTTGGGCGACTCCGGGCTCTGGAAGAGCCCTCCCGAGGGAGCGTGGCAGCTGTAGCTACGTGCTCGGCAAGCAACAACACTGAGCGCAGTGCCGGCTTCTCGTGAGGCCCCTCCTCTCGCCATCACTGCCCCTTTCTTCCCAGCCTTCTCTGGTCCTCCCTGCTCTCCTGGCTCCTCTCTAGAACCTCCACCCAGCCCGACGTGGTCCAGTAGCTCTTCCAATTTAACTCGTTGCCATCCCACAAGCAAGCACCATCAAGCACACATTATGTGCCAGGTGCTAAGCACATAGCAGCCAACAAAACAAACTGCCTGCCCACAGGGAGCTGTAAGTCTAGTGGAAAGGCAGAGAATAAGTGAGAAAGAGGATATTAAAGCAGGACAAATGCTGGGAAAGTGCGGCAGGAAAAGGGAAGTAGGAACCGAGTTGGTGAAGAAGATGAGGGTAAACTTTAAAACGGGAAAGATGCCACGTGTGTGGCTCGGCAAAGCAGCGGGAAAACAAGCCATGCGGCTGTGTACGGGAACAGCATTTCAGAAACAGGGATCAGCCAGCCCCAAGTCTGGACGCGGAAACCAGTGCTGGGCCTAAGGCGGGAACAGGCCAGGGAGGCCCCGCGTCAGGGTGAGGGGATGCTTGGTGCTGGGGGGCGGGGGGGTGGGGAGAAGGCGATGAGGCCGCAGAGCCCTCTCAGGTACTGTAGTTTTCACTCCTGATATGGAAGCCACTGGAGGTCTTGAAGCAGAGAAGTGACTAAATGAACCTGCATGTTTTATAAGGTTGCTGTTTTGAAACCAGACAAAAGGAGCAAGAGCAGGGAGGGGGTGGACAGTTGGAAAGCTGCTGGAGTACGCGAGATGAGCCAGGCCAACAGGCTGGCTCTCGGTGGGGGCGCTGGGGGCGCTGAGAGGGCAGAGCTCAGGAGACCTCACGGGCTCCACTGATGGGTGGGATGAACATTAAGGACTCAAGGAGTAGATGTCTCTCCCTGCAGCCGGGACACCTGTGTCCCCCATCAGAGTGGCCAGGTTCTTTCGCTGCCCAAGTCTGCTCCCGACTCCAGCTTGGGACACAGCAGCTGATGGCTTCAGTGGCTTTCGGGTCCCTGCAGCCTGTGCGGAGACGCGGATTGCATTGCATGTCCAGCTCCTGGCTGCAGGCATTCGGGGAATGAACTAGAAAATGTATGATTCTCTGCTTCCGATATAGGTAATTCTTAAAAATTTAAAAATAAGAGAATGGCTACAAGTTTCCTATCTGAATGAGCAAAAGGTGGGCACTGCTGTTCTTGAGCTGGGGGCAGCTGTGGAGGAGCATGTGGGAGATGGGCAGGCACCACACGGGAACACCGAGCAGGGGGTGAGCCCAAGGAATCCAGGAGTCAGGAGGGAGGCATAGATGAGAGTCGTCAGCAGGTGTGGGGTCAGAACACAGCCATCCTGGGCAAGGGCAAGGAAGAGAATCCAAGGCTGAGCCGGACGTGGGAACTAAGCAAAGCACCATCCAGGGCAGAGCGGTGACCCGGAGCCAGACAGGGGACGTGCCTGAGCTGTACTGTCCAAAGATGAGCACTCAACCTTGACCACCAAGCCAGACCAGGCGTTCCGGAAGGTGACTGCTGAAATGAGGGCCAGACAGACTAGCACAGAGGAAGGGTGGGCATGGCAGGCGTGCTCGGTCTGCAGGGAAGCAGAGGGACAGGCTGGTGGCTAGAGGGGTCAGGAAGATGCCCAGGTGTGACTTTCTCTTTATGCTGGTGCGAGAGGGGCTGGTGAAGCAATATTTGCACAAAATTGTATTCCACTCAGGATGGCCAGGGCCTGGGCGATTTCTTTGTTTTTTTTTTTTTTTTCTTGTGCTTTTTCCTTATTTTCCAAATTATCTAACATGAATATTTATTAATTTTGTAATCAGTGGGAAAAAGAGCCATTAAAATCCACAGAGCTAATTGCTCAAGTGAGGTTTTTCCATGGTGACTCATCCTAGGGAAAAAAAAAAAAACCCAAGGAACTGAAAAGGAGGAGGAGGTAAAGAAAAATGAAATGCAAATAGAACTCACTCAAAATCAGATAATTTTTGCCTGGCCCACTGCAATTTCCTCACCGCCCTCCCGCCTGTCAGTCTCCCTGGTCCCGTGGCCAGCTCAGGGCTGTCGCAGTGGTGTTTGTGAAATACAGCTCCTATCCTGCCCAGGCTCCCCGGGGGCCCTGCCGGTGTTCAGGGTCAAAGCCGCAGCTTGCTGCAGTGCAAGGATAGCCTGTTGCCAGTCAGCGAGGGGGCTGCCGCTCCCCAGCCCGGGCCCCTCTTCAGCCACGTAATCACCGCTCTCTCCATGTGCTTCCATGGCAACCGCTCTCCCCCATCCCCACTCTCCTTCCTGCCATTGTCAGCTCCCGGTTCCTCCCGCCGTGCTCCCATCCCCCACTAGGCTCCCAGGCGCCCTGGATAGAGGCGTTGAATGTTTCATCTTTGAGTCGCTGGCATCTTCCCCAAGTGCAGCACGCAGTAGGCATGTCTGCATCGGGGAAGGAATGACCCGGTCTGATCACCTTCCCCCCCCCACCGCCATCCAAGCAGAACACTGCGCTGCTTTCCACGCTCCCTGGAGCCGCTCTGCCAGTGCTGAACTCCCCCCACCCCCTGCTGGAGCCAGGGGCCCCTGGAAGCCAAAAGCACTGTTCACCAAGGTCCCTCCCTGGACATACTTGTCCTGAGATGGCCACCAGGTGAACTACGCCCACAGAGTGACTGAGCGCTCACTGTGCCGCATGCCAAGACAGAGGCAAGCAGAGGCTAGGGGCAACCAGGCCTGGGTGTCATTAAGCCCGCAGCCAACAGGCTGAGCAGTGCAAAGGCCCTAGCCACCCTGCAAGCCAGCAGCCTGGCCTCCACTCTCTGGATTCGGGCCCCGTCACCCCACAAGTCCACCCCACACGACAGCCTCTGCCCCGTGCAGCCGCCGGAGCCCCAGTGTTACCTGGAGCGGGCAGGCAGAGGACAGTGGTGACCGCCCTTCCTGACCAGGTTAGGGCTCAGGGCTGAGAGGACGTTTTCCTGGGCTGGGCTAGGCGGGGGCAACATTGGAGAGGACTTGAGGAAGGAGGACAGCCTGGCGGGGGTGGGGGCTGGGGCTCAGAGGTGACTCCAGGGCTGTCCCTGACAGGGAGAGACGGGTCGTTGCAGACCTCCGCGAATCTGTTTGCCAAATGCTGCGGGGGCTCCCCGGGGCGGGGCAGAAGCCAAAAGATGTGAACTTCAAAACAGAGGTCTGGCCTGAACAGGAGAATTCAGCTCTGTTTCTTTTGATGTGGTGGCCTCTTTTGTCTGTGGGAGTTACCCCCTTTTTTTGCTAGTGGGGGATTTAATTAGAGAAGCAGTCCCCTCCCACATGTTGAGCGGGGAAACAGCTGTGCCTCCGGAGCAGCCGCCTTCGAGTGGCCCCAGGAGCCCAGCCCTTGCGCCTGGGAAAGGAATGCAGCCTAATGCATTTATCCCTTGGCATGCAGTGTCAAGTGTGCACTCCAGAAAACTGTGTTCCCACACTCTGAGCCCTTGCAGGAGCGTGCGGCTGGACAGCGTGCTTGGCCGTGAGGCCGTGTGAACACAATCCCACAGGTGCCCAGCCAGGAGGGGCATCCTGGGAGAGGGGCGTCCCCTGAGAGGAAGGGGGAAGGAGGCTTGGGTTCAGAGACACAATTAAAGTACGATCCCATGATGTTCAGAAAAGACCCCATAAGACATCTTAGAGAGCGGGGCAGGAGGCTGGGATGTTTAGGCTGCAGGTTTTCTTTAGGGTGTTGAGAAAAGGTGGAAGGGTTAAGTCGTTTCAGCTGAACACAGGGTCGCAGCAGCCTCATTGAGAGGATCGAATCAGGACCCTCCAGGACAGACAGCTGACAGTGCCTGGGTAAGTCCCAGCTCTGTTGCCATTCCGGCTGATGCATCTGGCAGACAGCAGAGATGGCTCGCGCCCTGGGGTCCCTGCCCCCCAAGTGGGAGAACCCAGGAGACAGCAGAGGATGGCTGGAGCCCTGAGGTCTCTGCCCCTTAGGTGGGACAACCCAGATGCAGCTCCTGGCTCCTGGCTCCGGTCTGGCCCAGCCCCAGCTGTTTGGGCGTTTGGGAAGTGAACCAGCAGATGGAAGATCTCCATCTGTATTATTCCTCTCTCTGTCACTCCGCCTTTCAAAGTATTTCTCCCCTGTCATTCGATGAAAGGCCACAGGATGCCCATTTTTAGACCTGTGCGATTTCCCTCCACGTCACACCCCAGAAGAATATGGAGGGGGTCCTCGGCCTTGGTGTGGGGGCGGGGGTCCTCACCTGGATGTCCTCTATCATGATGTCATAGGCAAGGCCGTGAGACTCCAGGTAAGCTTTGATGTCCTTCAGTTCAGAAAAGGGAACCCTCATGTCCACGGGCAGGCTGGGTCTGGCTGGGACACGCCAGAAGTCCACCTCATTCACAAAGGAAAGGAACAGAAACAGCTTGGTTGCAAACTCTGACACGCAACCTGCGAGCCCCCGGGAGCCCGGTGCCCCCTCTCGCACACAGAAGGGCTCTGGGCCTGGGCCGACAGTCCGAGCCCCAAGCGCCAAGGCCAGTCTGGTGCCTGCTTTTCTTCCTTCCTTCCTTCCTTCCTTCCTTCCTTCCTTCCTTTCTTTCTTTTCTTTCTTTCTTTCTTTTCCTTTCTTCCTTTTTCTTTCCTTCTTTCATTTTTTCTTTCTCTTTTTTCCTTCCTTCCTTCCTTTCTTTCCTTAAGATTTATTTATCTTTGTTGGAAAGGTCGATTTGCAAAGAAAAGGAGAGCCAAAGCTCTCCCATCTGCTGGTTCACTCTCCAAGCAGCCACAACAGCCAGAGCTGAGCCAATCTGAAGCCAGGAACCAGGAGCTTCTTCTGGGTCTCCTACATGGGTGCAGGGTCCCAAGGCTTTGGACCGTCCTCTGCTACTTTCCCAGGCCACAAACAGGGAGCCAGATGATGGGAAGCAGAGCAGCCGGGACACGGACCACTGTACATCTGGGACCCCACTGTGTTCAAGGTAAGGATTTCGCCACTGAGCCATCGCACCAGGCCCAGGCTGGGAATTTCTTTGTCTAATGTCAAGCACCTTTGGTCTCAGCCTCCCTCACACATGGCAGTGCTGCCTGGATCCCCAGAGGTTCTTTACATGGTTCCTTAGGGAAGAATGCTAAGTTCCTTAGCATCCTCGGAGATGCTAACACAGACAAGAACCAAGTCAAGAGCAAATACCGGGACCAGCATTGTGCTGCATGTCAAGCCCCTCCTGGTGATGCTGGCATCCCATTATGGGTACCAGTTTATGCTTCCAGCTGCTTCATTTCCAATCTTGTTCTCCACTACCAGTTTTGGTGCTGGCCCAAGTACTTGGTCCCTGCCGCCCCTGTGGGAGAGCTGGTCGGAGTTTCTGACTCCTGGCACCAGCCTGGCCTAACCGTGGCTGTTGCGGGCACTTGGGGAATGAGGGAGCAGACAGAAAACCGCTGTCTTTCTGCCTCCTTTAAGTGTGCCTTTCAGATAAAAACCCAATTTAAAAAATAAAGAAGAAGAAGAAGAACTGCCAGCATCTCTCCCAGTCCCAGCAGGTGCAGGGAAGACTTGGTGGCTCCCACACCGTCCTTCACTACGCCCAAGCCTGCTTTCCAGTTGAGGAAAAGCAGAGAATCACAGGACTTGTGTGCGCTCTGCCAAGCACACTCTTCAGCAGGGTCAGGGCTGAGGCCATGTCCAGGACACCTGCTCATTCCCACACTCTCTCACAAGCACTACTGCCCTCCCCGTCGCACTGCAATGGAGAAAATGTTTTTTTCCATTGCGAAAACTTGTAGAGAACAAAATGTTCTTGGAAACAAACATTCAAGCTGATGGAGACAAACCCAACAACGAGATAAGCCACTGTAGCAGGGAACGGGCCAGTCCATTACCAAGCCACACGCCATCTCCCTCGGGAACGCACGTGTCCCCAGGTGGTTTGTGAACACTCCTGCTGTTCACAGAGCAGCCTCTGGTCAGGGGCCCTTACCCAGGACAGCAGAGAAAGCTGAAATACACAGCCAGAAAGGCTGCCTGGGTCCCGGCAGGTGTCTCCAGGCATTCCTGAAGAGGAACATGAGTGACTTTCCCGTAGCTCTGTGAGCTTCAGCAGAAGACATGAACAGGGCAGGGGTCAGGGGGTGGGAAGAGCAACTCCAGGTGCCAAGTGGGGGTTCCTGGGCCCCGAGGGAGGCCTCACCTTTTGGGGTTTCAGGCCCTCCAGATCCCTAAGAAGCGAAAGCTCCTTCTCGTCTTTGGCCAGGACTCGAAGAACCTGGTCTCTGAAAAAACACAGAGAGCGGCATGGATGCTGTGCAGGCGCTTCCTGGCAGGCCGGCTGGCTCGGGAGAGGAGACTGGCAAGAAGTTCTGGAAGGCAGGAGTGACCCGAGAGGCTGGGAGTGATAGAGCCCCAAGGACAAACCACCCAGGGGAGCGAATAAAGCCTGTTGGTGCTGCTGCTGAGCCAAAAGCCAGGACAGGGAGAGAGCATGGGGAAGGAGTGTGTAGTGCAGGGTGGCAGGTGTGTGTGTGTGTGTGTGTGTGTGTGCACAAGAGGGCAACAACAGAGTGGACATGGGGCTGGAAGGGTCAACAGTGACCCCAAGTGCTCTTCATGGAGGGTCCCCAAGTTCATGGTCTGTCCAAATCCCGTAGGAGAGATCAGATAATCCCACTCTATGTCATGTAAGGGCAGCTGAGCCCTTGCCTCTCTAACCAAGAGGCCTGCAGAACGAGGGCCAGGGTAGACCTTGACTGGCTCAGACCCTGGAGGGAGAGCGCCCCCTCAAAGCTGTGTCGACCTCTGCTCTGGGACCTTCCCCAGGGGACCCAGCATGTCATTCCAGAACTTTCTACTCCTGGAGAGAAGACAATAAGTAGCTGTTGAGGATTTACCAACTTCCTTAATATTCTAAGGAGAAGTTTGAACTCTTCACTCCCCCGCAAAAAAATGTATGTCTGAAAATAGTTGCCAGTGGTTTCGGGGCGCTCTGGGAGACCCGCAGCCCGAGCTGTGGATTTGAGGGGTTTGTAAATGGCCAGCTAGTCTGCCATGCAGCACCTGGAAAGGAAGTTGCAGAGCTGGAAGTGGGCACAGGATGGGAATCCGAGTCACTGTGTCTGCCCCTTGGTCAGACCCCAGCCACACAGTGGCCTCTCCCCTTGGCCGCACTGCCCTGCCCTCGTCCCCCTTGCCACTCACCCTGTGAAATTCATTTGGCCTAAAGCTGTTGCCAAGAGGAAGCCGCAGACGAGAGGCACCGCGTGCCCGGGGGGCAACCTCGGGCCGGTGGCAGGCAAGGCAGGGTCCTGCATGCTGCTTCCTGCAGGCGCTCAGGGCCTCCCCTGCTGCTCTGGCATGGTCCGGCCTCACACAGCACAGCACCTACAGGCCGGTAGGGCCGGCCTGAGACGGGGTCAGGCTCTCCCTCGCACCCGGCCTTGGGAGAGTGAGAGCCGCCCCCTCCGTCTCTTGGAGGAAGACAGAAGCAGGGGGACAAGGCCCTCCGCTTTCCTTTCCTGCTGGGGGTGGGGACACTGGCAGAGCCACCCTCAGGCCTCCAGATGAAGAGTGGCTGGTGGCCCCAAGAGGTCATGCCATTCCTCCCTGCTCCCTCCTAGTCGCCCGTCCTGTCCCCGGGCACAGTCATTCCTGAAAGTCCTCTGTCCTCCGAGCCAGCCACACACCGCATTCCCACAGGCCCAGAGCCTCTGTGCCCAACCTAAGCCTCAGTCTACCCGGCTGTCCCGGCTGACGATACACCCGCTCCCTACCTCACAAGGCTTGGGGGTATTAGAGGAGGCAGCTTGGTGAACTGGCTTGACAAAGCCTGCAAAATGTAATAGATTGTTATTTCGAAGGCACTGACTCTCGTCACCGCTGCATTTTAGCTCAGTTCTCCCGTCGCAAGGGGCAGACGGGGTAAAGGGAGCACGGAGGGGAAGGCGGAAGGGACTAGGTGTGAGCACGGAGTCAGGCCCTGTGCTCCGTCTCCAGGCGGCCACCAAACGCTAGGACAACCGACACACTTTCTGCTGGTCGTTATGCCAGGTCTCAACACAGGGCAGAGCCACTTTCACACACCAACCCCTGCATGGTGTGGGCACAGCAGGGAGAAAACAGCAGCCAGCACACAGAGCATTCGTGTCCGAAGGAGAAAGTTGGAGATGATCCTTGGTTGATTCAAATAGAAAATCCACAACAGGTGGGAAAAAGGCAAGACTAAATTCAACAAAGTTGTTCAGCAGACAGCGTCAACAAAAGGCCACTTAACCAGCGCTTCTCAGAAGCCCCCCTTCCCATCCGTACTTTCCCAGAATGGCCAATTAACTGGCCATGCGTGGAGAGGGAAAGCTCTTTTATCGACAGGATGTGCTGCTCACCCCCTCCGGCCCTTCTCCATTATTTCATGGTTCAGCTGCTCAGAGGCGCCCGACCCTCCTAGAACCCCCGCTCTGGGCATGCTCAGACAGGAACATCAACAGAGGGTTTAAGGACCCGGAAAAGAAAGCAATTACACTTTCCACCCAAGCAACATTCAGACTTAGTAACAACAGGAATAGAAGAATGCGCTCAGAAGCAAGAGCTCAGAAGTGTCAAAGGAAAAGGAGGAGACGGGGCATCAAAAACAGCCAGCGTCATCTGGTCCCAAAGCATCCACTGAAGTCACTGCCAACGAGACCGCTGGCCCTGAACTTGGTTAACGGTGGGGGAGGGAGAGAGAAAGAGTGAGAACAAGAGAGAGAGAGGGAGGAACCGCCCAGAATGCTTTCCTACGGCAGCACTTCCGGTAGAACCTTCTGTGATAATGGGAATGTTCTATATTCACACTGGCTGACAGGACAGTCACTGGCAACTGGAAACGGGCTGGTCACACTGAGGAAGTGGATTTTAAATTCATCTGGCTTTAAATGTAGTAGCTACATGTGGCTGATGAATACCACACTAAACTACGGAGGAGTTATATGGGAGGTCACCCACCCCAAAACACACAGACCACAGCGGCCAAGTTTGAAGCAGAGAACTACAGATGTGTGTGACCTGGTACCTCATCCTGCCTTCCCATCCAGGACTAGTTATACAGCCAAGCACGTGCTCAGTAAACGTCTCCCGAGCGTCTTCCATGAGCCAGGCGCTTGCTAGGGTCTGCAGTCGAACGGAGCGCGTTGGAGGCCTGGCCCTCATATTGCTAATGGGGCAAGTCGACAACTAATTTAAAGAAAACCCTGGTGAGTGTGCGAGAAGAGCCGACGTCTGTGCTACGAGGGTGCACGTCGTACCAACAAGCAGGGCCGTGAACTGCAGCTTCTGAAGGGGCGTTCCCGTAGGGAATGTCGCTGGAAAACCGTTCCTGCACGTGGAGAAGTAAAAAGCGCTGTCCAGACGAAACGACTCAAGTGCAGGAGAAAATGTTTCTAGCAACAACATCTCTAAAGAATCTGCGCATCCCCGAAAGTGAACAAAACCAGAAAGGGACCCCCAAGGTGAGGAGGCATTCCTGAGAGGATTTCCCAGCCCCTCCGGAAGAGTCCGGCCTCTGTCCCAGTTGTTCTGTCCTTTTCAACTGAAGATCGGCCGTGTCACCCTCTGCCTGACCATCGTGCTTCAGGCACATTTCACTCTCCCTTAGCCCACGTTCTGGACGATTCGTCTGTATTGGGAATTGCTGGATGTTTTTGTCCCTTTATTCAAGTTAACATTCTTTCATCATCTAGATTTAATGTGAAATTATATTAATGTGGTAAAACTTAAGTTTTTTTTTTAAGATTTATTTACTTTTATTGGAAAGGCAGACATACAGAGAGGAGGAGAGACAGAGAGGAAGATCTTCCATCTGATAATTCACTCCCCCAGTGGCCGCACCGGCTGGAGTTGAGCCAATCTGAAGCCAGGAGCTAGGAGCAAGGTCCCAAAGCTTTGGGCCGTCCTCCACTGCTTTCCCAAGCCACAAGCAGGGAGCTGGATGGGAAGCAGGGCCGCCGGGATTAGAACCGGCGCCCATTTGGGATCCCAGTGTGTTCAAGGTGAGGACTTTAGCCACTCAGCTATAGTGCTGGGCCCAAAACTTAAGTTTTTATTATTATGGTTCATTAATAATAAATTATTTTTTCGTAGTTTAACATTTCTGAAATCAGGATGCATCTTACACCCAGCAGCATCTCGTAGTCTTTAATGTCTCATAAAATTACACTGTCTTATAATTCTGTATATAGTCAATACAATATGGCATTCAGTTTTCATTCCTGTTTGACCTGAAATTCTTACCTAGTTTAGCACTTTTGTTTATTTCTTTAAGCCTGCAAGGCAATTGTTTCATGTCCTGTGTCAGATAATTACAATACCTGAGCATCGTGCAAGTCTGAACTGCGTATGGCTTTGTGACTCCTTATTCCTGCCGTCTTATTTTCTTGGGCCATTTACCTTTGAGTTATTCATTTCTTTGAACATTTATCTGTGAAAATCCTTTGAGGACTTGGTTGAAGCTTATTTCTTCCAGAGAGGAGTCACATTTTCTAAAAAGAATTGTTTGTTTATTTTTATTTGAAAAGGAGACTGCCCTTGTGTTTGCTGCTTGGCTCCACAGTTGGCCGCCACGGCCATGACCGGGCCGGGCTGCAGCCAGGCACAGGCACTGCATCCCACGGGTGCAGGGGTTCAAGCACGCGGACTGCCTGCTGCTGCCTGACAGGTGCACTGGCAAGAGGCTGGATGCTAGCAGAGCGGCTGGACTGACACCCGCGTCCAGTGCGGCACGCAGCGTCACAGCTTAACCTGCCGTGCCACATGAGCCCCAGCAGTTACACTTCTTTTCTTTTTTTTTTAATTTCTAATCACTATTTTTAAAGATGAATTTATTTTTATCGGGAAGGCAGATCTAAAGAGAGAAGGAGAGACAGAAAGAGAAGGATCTTTCATTCGCTGGTTCACTCACTGATGGCTAAAATCCTTGCCTTGCAACCGCCGGCATCCCATAGGGACACCAGTTCATGTTCCTGCGGCCCGCTTCCCATCCAGCTCGCTGCCTGTGGCCTGGGAAAGCAGTCGAGGACGAGGACAGGCCAAAGCCTTGGGACCCTGCGCCCACGGGGAGACCCGAAGGGGGTTCCTAGCTCCTGATCAGCTCAGCCCCGGCCGTGGCGGCCACTTGGGCAGTAAACCAGCAGACAGAAGATCTTTCTGTCTGCCCTTCTCTCTGTATGTCTGCCTTTCCAATCAAAATAAATAAATCTTTAAAAATAAAAATTAAAAAAGAAAGTAAAACTGTCATAAAATCATCCAGTCTTGCTGCAGACGGAGCCAAAGCTTCAGTGTCATTCCAACCGAAAACCCAACAGTTACGCAAAACGTCACGGGCTGATCCGAACACATGTGAATTAACACAGGTCCTAAAAGGGTCGAAACAAATCCCAAAGCAAACCCAAGTGGGAGAACTTTCTCTGCCAGACGTTAAAACATCGGATGCAGTGGGAGTTCTTACATGATTTGTTGGCTCAACAAAGAGCACAGCTCAGACACAAATGCAGACATATTTGGAAAGTTTGCTTTTCGTAAACTTGCACAGGAGGTCACCATGGAGCAGGTGGACTACTCAGCGTTGCTGGAATCCTGCTGGATTTATATGGAGAACGGTATGTACAATATGCAAAATCTATTCCAATTAGATTTGTAAATGGGGGGTTATGCTAGCCGCTCTCTTTTATTACCTGAGTGGTGCTTACACGGAAGCAGTGTGATAATTTGACACGTGTTCAAGGCATGATGATCAAGTGAGGTTAGTTACCATTTATACTTCCTTATATGTTTTTTTTAATTCCTAAACATAAAAGCCGAACTAGAACTTAGAAAACAACCTAGGCGATATTTGTATGTCATTGTAGCGGGGAGTAATTTTTCTAAACAAGGCGCAAGAGAAAAACAACATAAAAGGGAAAAACGGATAAACAGCAATTACGTTAAATGAAGAACTTGTGTTCTTAAGACCCTTGGGGACAGAAGGCCGAGCTCAAGCTGAGAGGGTGTGTTTGCAGCGTGCTAAACTGGCGAGAATTAACACCCAGGATGTAGAGAGGACATCTGTGAAGCTTTTTTTTTAATGGGGAAAAAAAGCATGAAAAGTCATTTTATAGAAGTCACAGATGATCTATGAACAAACGATGATTTGTAATTGGGAAAAAGAAATTTAAAATCACAACCAAATTGCCATGTCATACCCACCGAGTTGTCCACACCACCAGAATGTTGGTTCATAGGGAAGGAAACCCGCG